ATGGATGGATGGATGGATGGATGGCTGGCTGGCTGGCTGGCTGGCTGGCTGGGTGGCTGGTGAGACTGGTGATATGTATTCCTGAGGGCTTTCAGTAGTGGTGGGGGTGGGGGAAGGAAATAGAGAGCTAGAATGTTGGTGAAATTTTAAACACCACAGAAAATAATTCAGAAAATCCCAAACTCTCCCTGCAAGCCAAACAGGTTGGCCAGGTATGTAGTCCTCTCATCTCTGGTGATCACTCTGTCACTATCCTACACACTCCCATGGCTGCAAGATGGTGGTGATGATGCTGATGCTGATGTCACTCACCCAACTATAGGGAATGTGTTTTGACAGAGAGATTGATTTGTAAAATACTGAGAAAGCTCAGAAAGCTCTTCTAGTCTTTGGGCCATGAACAAAATGAAAAATACTCCTTCTGTAGTTCTACATGGGTAGAGAAGAGAAAGAGTCTTTCATCCTGTTATATGAATAATGTGTCCAGCAGAGAGATTTCCTGAATTTGTGTGGACACATTCGTCACGTATAAAGTTTCAGCAGGAGATATTTTTCTGCTTTTATTTATCTAACAATCTGCTTCTGTACATAAAGCACAAAGGGAGGAGTTGTAAGCAGATGACAGAGGGATCAGTAACATCAGAGGAATTGGTAAGCAGGGCAAGGAATGAGAAATTAAGCAAAGGGAGAATTTGGAGTTCATACAAAAAGACAGTTAGCAAGCTTGGGGGGAATATGATAGACTTTATTGTAGCAGGAAAAGATTGAAACAATTATAGTTGACTAAGGATAGCTGAAGGTAAAGTTGAGGGCCTATTGCTCATTGTGTTAAGTGCATAGCATGAAGTGCCATTTTGGTTTTTAAAAAAAGAATATTAATTCATGCTTAATTATTACTCCAGTGTGTAAGTAGGGAAAATTTAATCCTTTTCTCCACAGCTGCAATTCCAATGAAAGCTGAGATCTATCTTTTGTTATGTTAATTGTAGCTCAGGTAATCTTATTTTTGTTTTTAAATAATATTAAGGGCAGGGAGAGGGATAATTGTATATGTAGTGTGGAGGTTGAAAAAGTAAAGTCTCTTTCATAGGCACATATATGTAGGCAGTGGTATGGAGGTAGCTTGCCATTGCCGTCTTTTAGGATGACTTTTCAGCTTCTCATTTTAGACTACAGGTAGTCCTTGCTTAATGACTGTTCGTTTAGTGACCATTCAAAGTTATGATGGTGCTACAATGACTTATGACCAGTGCCTGAAGCTACGACCGTCGCAGTGCCCCCGCGGTCACGTGATCACGATCTGGGCGCTTGGCAACCACCTCGTACTTAAAATGGTTGCAGTGTGCTGGGGTCATGTGATCACCATTTGTGACCTTCCCAGCCAGGTCCCGGCAAGCAAAATCAATGGGGCTCCATGTGATTCACTTAATGACTATGTGATTCACTTAATGACTGCTGCAAAAAAGGTAAAATTGGATCTGGTCACATGATGATTCACTTAACAACTGCATTGCTTAGTGACCTAAATTCCAGTCCAAATTGTGGTTGTTAAGTCAGGACTACCTGTACAGCCTTGGTATTCCCTACCCATCCAGGTACTAATCAGACCCAACCCAGTTTAGCTTCCAGTCCCAGAGAAGGCCAGCCAGTTAAGACAATACGCATGTAGAGAACACATTTTTCCTCAATTGCAATCTCAGTGAATTGCATCAGCAACCATCCCAAAATTCATAGTGTTTAAGGAACATCTTGTACCATCTGGAGGGTCTTTACCAACTCCAACGGTAAAGTCAACCCTGACGGGCAGAATCTTCCTCAGAATTATAGCTAAGAAGGGAAGAATTAAAGCTCCATGCTCTGTGTACAGAAAGAGAAGAAACCGGAAGAAAATCAGACTGAAGGACTGTGCTAGAGATTAGAACTGGAGGAGTCTTGGGAGAAACTTAGACTAAAGACTGCATTGGAGACAAGAGTGGGGAAGATCAGGTTGGAAAGGGTGTTGCAGATTGGAGTCGAGTGGAAAAAAAGGAGCAGGAAAGATTGCTTAGAAGTGTATTGAGAAATTGTATGGGTGGGTGATTGGGTAGGAGATGGAAGGGGGATGTGAGTAGAGGGTGGATAGGTGGAAGGAGGGAGGAATATTGAGGAGGCTTCAGAAGAATGCTCAAGTGGCAGGCAGGAAGTGGAGGTTAAAAGCCCCCCTCCTGAGTGAGAGAATGGAATGGTGTGTAAGGGAAGTCATATTCCCACCCCACCCAGATGAGAGTTGAAGAGAAAGTAGGGACAGGAGGGAGGAAGAAGGTTGAGGAAGTTGGGTGACAGGGTGAGTGGTGGAAGAGGCAGAGATTTTAGGAAATTCATTGCTAGAATTTACTTCCTGAGATATTGACCATGGAGTACTATGAGGGTAACAAGGACTTTACAATATATTCCCTAACTATGTTCCTGCTTACTTGCTTGCTTATTTATTTATTTAAGGTGCTTTTATGGGTTTAGTCCTTCCAACTCTAAAAATATAGTAAGTATAATAATATCAAAAATATGTCATGCCATAACCTTTAGCCTCTCAAATTAACATAACACAATTAATATAATTTATTCATATGAATATATTATATTCATACTGATAATTCTGGTACATTACATAATAGCATAATTATTTCTAAATGTATTTTTGCTGTAACAAAATCCATATTATACAATGCTACTTCGTCTAGATTTTTAAAATGATTTGCCTTTTTAGATCTACTTGGCCCATATATTCATGGTAAATTTGGTAGTGTTTTTTAAAATATATATTGGTTAAAAAAATCTTAAACCAGCTTACTGGCTTGTTATTCACTGGAGACATTTAATTTAGCTTCCCAAATATGACAGCTGGTTAATATCACCCTGATACTGGCAAACATAACTTATTGACTCTGTGCAAGGTTGAAACTGGGTTATGAAGTCTTCTGGCTACTCATTTATTTCAACTTTTTAAAAAAATGTTAATGTTTTCAGCTTTAAACAGCACTTTGGTTTTATTGTGACAAACCTAGCCCAGCAAAAAACTTATATTTTCTTTTAAATCTGTCTGTTCTGGTTATAGGTTTTTCATCTGTTCCCAGGGGGATTCTGAATAAAATACAGATATCTATGAACAATTTGTTTATCTTTCTTGTCTTTCTTTTGAGAAAATGGTCATAGATGTTTCTACTGAGCTCAGCAGGCCTTTCTCCCAGCTGTATAATAAATAAAGTTTTGGGGCTAGGAAAGTATTTTATAGTAAAATACATAGGTTGTCATAAAATCATGCTTTTTTGAGCATTTTAACATTTCTTGAAGTTGGAAACAGCATCAGAGAATTGGAAGAAAGGCAGAATTGGTAAGATAAATCGCTATTCCTTCTGATCTGTATTTTTATCTGGGAGATGTGAGTTAGCTGCTTACTTCTAAATCTGTACTGAATATAATCCTTTAGCACCCCTATCTGGAATAATGTTTAATTCCTAAGTATACTATAAAAACTTTAAAAATAGCTCAATACCGAGTGGTAGACAACAGGGGTACTATATTAAAGATAGAAAAACATTAACATGTGCAAACTGCTTATAGAAAGATAATGGGTAGTATGTGGTCTGCTGTTAGGAATGAAGGTTTGTCAAAAGAAATAAAAAAGGTTGAAGAGTGTGCTTATGTCCACTTTGCTATATGGAAGTGAGAATTAAGTATATCAAGGGAAAATGTAGGTTGGGAATTGGGTACTTAACAACAGAACGTGTCAATAATAACATGGGTGGTGAAGGAATGTGGATTGAATGCAAAAGTGAGTGACCAGAATGAAAGAAGTACACAGAGGTGTTTTGGTCATATACAGGTAATCCTCGTTTAGTGACCACAGTTGGGACCGGCAACTTGGTCATTAAGTGAAGCAGTTGTTAAGTGAAACTTAATGATCATATTTCAGCTTTCTTTTGCTTTACAGACCTGCAAAGGTTGTAAATGCAAGGACTGGTTGTAAAGTTACTTTTTCATCACTGTAGTAACTACGAATGGTCGCTAAACAAGGCAATGACTAAACGAGGACTACCTGTATGGAGAATGAAAGAGAATTGAATGGGGTTGAATTACAAGACACGTGTAAGAAGGACAAGTGATTTGGGCAAGAGGAAGGGGAAGACTGAAAAAGTAAGGGTTGAATGGAGTTGATGAGATGCTCAAGAACAGAGGGATGAGACGTTTAAGGGACAAAATGTAGTGTATGAAGTGGTGATGGAAACAAGGATGGCTTGCAAGGGTAGAAAGGTATGCAGAAGTATAATGAGAGAATGGTGTTGTTGTATACCAATTTTAACCATGATACCTTTCTTTTTCTTATTTCATACCTTTAATTTCTTTGGCTTCCTATTTCCTATTTCTTTTCTGCATTCTGTATTGTTTATCCCCAAAAAGAATACCGGGATGGCTAAATACATATGTGAATTTTTGAGTTCTGAATAATGTTGTCTTTTTAATAGCCCATGTTTGTGAAAATGTATGTATACAAAAAGGATGTGTGGGATCTTGGTGCCTCTAACAAGAGAAAGCAACTCTTAAGAAAGAGTTAAGAAATTCCAGGCCAGCATTGCATGTTACAAGATATAAATCCATTGGATAAACATAAGGATAAGTTGCAGAAAACGGATAGGGTTATATTAGTGGATTTACAAAAAGAAAAGAGAGTAGATATGTTAATACATGAAAGTGCTTTCCTTTCTCTGTAAGAACAGATGTACAAAGCCATTACCTTATTTTGTGATTATCTATTTTTAAAAAAAAAGATTGTCGAGGTTAATATTTACAACCCTAATTTAGATTATGTTGGTGTATTTCATGATTTTATATTCTTCATTGCTTTCCACTTTTTGATAATTGGTAGAAATTTAGTGGAAGTCTTAATCCTATTTTAGAAAAAAGTTATTGTCTGAAGAAGCTACAGTCCTCAGTTTGTGTGTAGCACTGAAGGCTTAACAGTTGCATGCAATGGTCTAGGCATCCTTGGTATGTTTCAGTGAATCCCTGAATGAACAAAAGCTGACACAACCTCTACAGGGAGAAAGTTAAACACAACTTCTTTTTGCAAATTTGAATGCATGCTTACTATTTATATACAGTTTACAGATTTAAAAGAAGAAAAAACCCCAATGAATATGGTGCACGGTTTGTTAATGCAGATTAAAAAGTAGTCCTGTTTCCAGATGACAAGCTGACATTTATGGACAAGCCACCAACAAGTAATGGCTTTAGGCCCTACTCTAGATATAATATAAATTGATTTTGATACGTTCGGGAACACCTTTTGTTAAAACTAGTTTTTTCTTGGCTTTTTTGATGGTGTCTTGGGCTGAAAGAGTACATTAGAAATATATCTTAGATGACTACAGTGAATTTAAGTACAACATTAAATCTGAAGAGTTCAGTTAGGGTTCTCTCCATCAGTTTATGAGCAAAAACCGAGCATTAAGTCATTTCATGGATTAAAACTCTTACTTAATATGTCTTAGTAGACCTGTTCTTTAGGTGGAAGAGTTGATGGAGGGAGGGAAAGAAGATATCAACAGCAAAATCTAGATTGTGTTAGCTAATTTTTTTAGTGACTGTATTGGTTTCTGCTATTTTTTATTTTTATAAATGCTCAATTAGAAGGACTAATTGCCTCATGGGTGTGTTTGTTTTCTGTTTTGTTTTGTTTTGCTTCAGATAGTCGTTTGGAAGAGATACAGTGACTTTAAGAAATTGCACAAAGAACTCTGGCAGATTCATAAGCACTTATTCAGGCATACAGAATTGTTTCCTCCCTTTGCTAAAGCAATAGTATTTGGTAAGCATCTTTTTAAAATCACTAAATAATTTGGGAATATATTTTTGTTCGTCTTGAAATAGAATAATTGGCATTGCCAATACCTCCCCCCCAACATTTTCCCCATCCTGTCTAAAAGATGTACTGATATTTAGTGATTAATACTTAAAGAGTTCAGTCATACCCTGAGAAGTTTCCAAACCTGTACTGAGATCTGTGCATTCAGTCTTAATGTGCCTTATCTCCTAGATATATCATGACTATATAATTACATATATAATCTTATATGTAAGGATCTCTCTCTCTCTCTCTCTCTCTCTCTCTGCCTCTCTATCTCTCTCTGTCTCTCTCTCTATATATAGTAAGCACCAGTTTGGTGTAGTGGTTAAAGGCATTGGGTTAGAAACCAGGATACTGTGAGTTCTAGTCCCATCTTAGATATAGAGCCAATTGGCCAGTCACTCTCTCTCAGCCCTAGGAAGAAGGCAATGGCAAACATTCTGAAAAATGTTCCCAAGAAAATTTCAGGGACTTGTCTATATTGTTGCCAAGGGTCAAGACTGACTTGCAGGCGCAAAGTAATATATAGCCTATATGTATTATATATCCATTGTATATCTCTTTATAGGTTCTGATTATGATTAGAATATCAAGATAACTTGTTATACACCTCACTTGTACAGGTTCCACTCCTAATTTTGGATCTAATTATGGGCTAGTGTTAATTTATACATAGACATTTTTGCTATCATGGTTAGTTCCAAATCATAATTTGTCTTGTATTCCTGAGAAAAATAGACGAAGCTGTTGAAAACAAGCAGTTGGGTCAAAGTGCAGATGTCTGCAGATATCACTGCTAAAAAGCCCGGCTGCCTCTGAAGATGAGCCTGAAGATTAGCCATCATCTGAGAAGGACTGCTTGACTAGTTAAATTGACTTGTTAAACTGTAATGCCTAAGCAGAGCTTCTCTTCTTGTGTTTTGTCCTCCATCCAGTTATTTCTTCCTTTCATGGCATCTCCAACCAGTTTTGTTATCCCCTTTGTCTTCATTCTCTTCCTGGTGCAGCCACCTTTTCCTCTTACTTTATCTTCCTCCTGGTTTTTTCTTCTTTTTTGCTGTTTCTATTGGAAGGAGGAAGAAGTGGGTTTGTGTGCCCGTAAAATGTGCTTTGTTGTGGAAGTGGTTCTGGTGAGAAAGAATGGTTGCTTGCTTGATATTAATCACCCCAGGAAAATGCAAAATATTTTATTTACTTGCTATATTTATATAGAGTGTTCTTTTCAAATCTTATAGCTGAATGATAGAAGAAAACATACCTTTTTATGTTTTTGTTTAATTACTTCAATAGAATTTCCTGTAATTCTTTAGGTAACTCTGTGAGCTCCAATTATGCTCTGCTGATTACTGATACATAACTTATTTAAAAAGGGCTTTGATAGTGAAATTATGAAATAGTACAGGTAATCTTCACTTAACTACTGCAATTGGAACTGGCAACTCTGTCGCTCATGCTGCAGTTTTTAAGTGAATCACTGCGGTTGTTAAGCGAGACATCATGTGACTGTGACTTGCGATTTTACTGCTGGCTTCTCTACTGACTCTGCTTGTTGGAAGCTGGATGTGAAGTGCGCAAATGGTGATCATGTGGCCACAGGATGCTGCAGCGGTCATAAACACCTGCTGGTTGCACAGTGCCCAAATTTGCCAAAAGGTAGGGGTCCCTCTGATCTCCGATGGGAGGCTGTTCCAAAGGACTGGGGCAGCCACTGAGAAGGTATGCCTCTGAGGTCCCATCAGATGGCAACATTTAAGGGGGGGAACCTGGAGTGTACCCACCCTATCTAACCTAGTAGGAGGGGCAGATACTCTCAGGGAGAGGTGGTCCTGCAAGTAACCTGTTGGGTGTCCCAATAGCATATTTTTATTATTTGGATAGGGACTTTTTTGTTCTTGAATTTAATGACATTTTTAGGCATGCTGACTTTGAAAAAGACCTTAAAATACATGTCTGATACAATTTTGGACAAGTTTTCCTCTTTTGAGATGACCAAGTGTTGTTGTTTTTTCTGATACTGGGATAAATGAGGAGGATACAAATTGTAAACTATTACAGTGCAGTGTTTAGAACATTCAACTGAGATTAGGGAGACTCTGAGTGAAATCTTCATTTGGTCAGGAAGCTGACTGGGTGACTTTTGACCTGTCATTGTCTTTCACCTTAACTTGCCTTTTGGGACTGTCGTGAGGATAAACTGTGTGTATGCATGTTTCTCAAGAGTCCTTGATGCACACACTACTCTGAGCTCCTTTGTAATGGAATGTGAGAATGACCTTGGAAGATGGGGGAAAGAGATGCTGCCTAGGGAACGATCAGACAAAAGGGGGAGGAGCCAGCAACTGAGTAGCAGGCAGAGAAGGAAACTTAGAAAGGATCTGTAAAAAGAGATGGTGGGAGATTTCTACTTTCAGACTTGCAAGATTCTGTTAATGTAGCCTTACAATAAACTAGAATTAGTTCATCTTGTTGTGTTTCCTGTCTGGTCTACTTGGGAGGCTGACATCCTTGGAAGAAGAGATGGTGGTAAATGTAGTGAATAAAGATTGGGTAATATAAGGAGGATAGTTCAGATACGTTCAGATGGCAACATTTAAGGGAGTTTTGTGCTAACTATAGTCTGATTGTGGAGTTCTTGGTGCTTTCTGAGCTTGGTTGTTTGCTTACAGATGTTTCATTACCCAGCTGGGTAGCATCATCAGTGTGAGTGAGTGTGGAGTGTGGATTTGTTGCCTGTTTATAGTCTGGTTTCATATCTCAATTCACGGAGTAATCCTTTGGGTCTGGGGTGGGGGTGTTGGCTTCATTCTTTATCCGATAGATTATCCATCTCTCTCCTTTTTTTAAAAAAAAAAAACCCACTCCTCTAAAAAGCAGAAAATAAAAATAATATTTTTTCATGGATGTGATTTGATAGTTATGTGTTCTAATGGCAATGGCGCTGTATAAGTTTTGTTCTATCCTTCTTGTTCTTGGCTAAAATAAAATAAAGATGTCTTCAAGTTGAGCTTGACTTCTGGTGACTGCATGCTCTTGGAAATATTTTATGCTACTCCCCCCACGTACACAAAATTATTGTGCTGAAATAGAGGGTCCAGGCTGATCCCATGGGCTTCTCAGTGTAGCTTGTGTGACTGCTAGGATTTCTTTCTCCAGGAAAAAAGAGAAAGAGACAAGAATAATGAATTTGAGAGTAGCCAAATGGAAGTCAGCAAGTACTCTTCCTGCACAATTTCATGTTATTTCCCATACAAGTCTGGTGAGGACTTTTTCTTGAACTTGGTTACAATTAATTGAGGCTGCCCAGATTGCCCAGCAATAGGTCTGGTGAACTGAGTCACCTGTATTTGCTTCCAGTGTAAATGAAACACCCTCCCCCCACCCCTTTTTAATTTTGTGCTTAAGACAAATTCAGCTGAAGTTTCTCTAAAATTTGCCTATTGTTCTGGACCACACTTTGCAGGTGTTTCAGTTGTCCGATAGGTAAACTGAAAAGTAATAAAAGAGAATGCAACATATTTTATAGTCTGCTTGGGGATGACAGAGAAAAATCGGAACTGTATTTTTATGGAGAACTTAGGGGAGGAGGTTCCTGTTTCTAGCCAGCTTGCTTGGTTCTGGATGCAGAAGAGGCAAGAAGCACTTCTGCTAGCTTGCTTTTTTACCTAGAATTCCTATGTGTGTATTGCAGCTAGGGCTGTGCCTAAATAGAAGGTTATTCTGGATAACCCATTTCTACAAGAAAAAGAGAAAGATTCTCTGAACTTCAGTTTGATGCTAGTTAGAACTTTATAAGAAAATCAAGATAGTGCTGCAACTTTTGTAGGTAGTTCTGCCTGTCTGTAATGCCAGCATGGATCTTTACCTGCAGCTGAATCACATGATAGACTGTATTTTATTCTTTTTGGAGAGAAGGTCATATCATGTCTGAATGCTTGCCCGCCCCTCACAAAAAGAAAGCAACATCAGCATAGTATTATTGCATCATGTGCAGAATATTGTTTTTGGACTAGGAGATTTTTAGTTACCTACCCTGCAGTCATAAGTGAGACATTCCAGAAAGATCTGCGTTATGAGTTTCTGCTGATTGTGTATATTGGCAGCCAGTCCTTTTTTCTCATTCCTGAAGAGATTATAATATAATCAAAAATTTTTACAGTAAAGAGGTAATAGATGAGGAGTATTGACTAATTGATTGATTGATTGATTGACTACATGCCATCAAGTCATTGTCAACTCTTAGCAACCACATAGATTTTCTCTCTGATGATCTGTCCCTAACCTGGTCCTTCAGCTCTTCCAGTGGCACGCTCATTGCTACTATAAATGCGTCTACCCACCTTGCTGCTGGTTGTCCTTTTCTTCTCTTTCCTTCTACCTTTCCCAGCATTACAGCCTTCTCCAGAGAGCTAGGTCTTCATGTAATGTG